TGAGTGGTTCCCGTTACTCATCCAGTCTCAGAAAGCACTGGTTAAAGTGTTTGTGTATTTATTGATTTATTTTAAGTAATTGTGTTTTATGTATATTATGGTTTTATATTTTTACAAATGTTTTAGATACTTATTTATATACATATATATTTAATGGTTTATACCTTGTGTTGGGGGGGGTTGTGTGTGTGTGTTTTTTGTCTTGTTTTTATGGACATGAAGTCTGCCAATAAAGATTGAATTGAATTCAAATAAAGTTGGATTGGATTTCAACATCTTCTAGCCTGACGTAGGATTTCAGAAGGAAAACCTAAATGCAAAAACTTTGTAAAAGGAATTGTGCTATGCACACAACCACAAAAAAATAGGGTATTTCCTTAAAAGAAATACACAACATAAAATGTGTACAATTACAAAAATGGTACTTGTTTTTGTCCAGTGTGAAAAAGTTGGCACACGTAAAAAACTGAGGTGAGTGATCAGTGTGAGTACTCTTCTTAAAGGACACGATCTGCATTGCAGTACCCTGAGTTTCAGTTCCCAATGCAGTCTTTCTGCAGCTTTTATTTTCCTCTCATTATATCCATTTATTTATGTATGTATGTGTTACTTCACACTACATAAACATTCTCAGTGAAGCTACATTAATATAATTATATCATTCTTATAAACCTTGATAGTCACATTCATAAAGTATGGAAATGAAGGAACAAGTAACACATGACTCTTACACACACACCTCATACACAACAGGTTTCAGGTGTTTATTCAGGGTAAACATAAAAAGAAAAGAAAAAAAGAGCAGTTTTCAATCATCAGTACTTCATCTACTACTATCAGGAAAATATATATTATCATACACACATTTTTAAAATAATTATCTAGTTAGAAAATCAGCCTCCATAAAATTGGTTGTTAATGTTTATACCCCTTACTTCTCAAAACTCGTGTTATGTAAAGTACGGGTGCACCAACATGTTAATTCCAGCTGTTCTGCCTGGCAAATGACACATTTACTGATTGCGGTGGATGATGTTTTTGTTTAAAATTTAAAGAAAAAGAAATCGTGAAGATTTCTTTGTTTCCCTGAAACACATTATGGAATCAAATGTAAAAAAAAACAAACACAAGAAGTCATAAATTTCACAATCGGTGCATCCCAAACATACAGTGATCCACAGATCCAACAGTAGCAGAGCTGACTACCTATCCTTGTTGCTACGGAGATCGGTCGTCAACGGGTCGTGCTGAATAGTTTGGTGCAACATCAGAGCGAGGAGACCAGCTCTGTTGGTCATAGCAGTCCTGACATTACGTTCCTGTTCAAAGAGCTCGTCCAGCTTGTACCACTGTGTGGGGGGAAGGAAAAGAAACAGACCAGTGTGGAAGAGCCAGTGTTAGTTATTTAAAATGACAAAGTCACAAAGAGATTTCCGTCTCATCCCGGGATTGAGCTGCTCTGCCTACTTTAAATCCTTTAATTTGCACAGGTGAATGTAAAGGCGACCCCCCACCCATTTCTACTACTCAGCCGATACAAATCTGCTGTAACCAGACCGTTTTTGGTCCACTACCTGCATTCCCCAGAAAGCTGCCCAACATCTCACCTGATCTGACACATGACTTTCTTTGACTTTGTTTGAACTGTGCAAGCTTTCCAAACTACCGCATCAATCGTGAAGTTGGACTCACCACCCTGACGCGCTCCAAGTCCACCTCGGCTCTCCTGAGCTTTTCCCAGTTGTAATGTTTGTTGCACTTTCTTTTGGAGACTCTGCAATATTCTCCTGTCGGCTCAAACACATTCTTCACTAGAGGGCACCCACACACCTCATCCACAGGCACCTGTGGACCGATCAAAAGAAAGACAGATTAAAGTCTCCACATTGACTGCACTTTATGCTTAGTGGCTTCCCGCTGCCACTTCTTTGCTTTTACACCAAGAAAGCTGTTTTTCTGACCTTTGGATCTCTAGAATGCTCTGGACACAAAACCTGAAGCCTCTTGCAATATGTCTTGCTTTGTGGATTGTACACGTCACAGAAGAGCCTGGTTGCGCTGCAAGAAAAAAAACCATCATCTTAGTAAATCATCCAACTAGAGAAACATTCAAAAAACCTAAAGGCAGCAATGAACTTCACTAACCCTTCTATCCTTGTAGGGTACATTGACCCGAAGGAAGTCTGGCTCTCATACTGTTAAATAATCAGAAAAATAAGTGTTTAGGAAAAGAATGAGCTTGCAGCAGTATCAAGAGAAATGAAAGAAATGATCACCTTTGCATAGCATCTCTCCATATGTCTGAGTGCCACTTTTGGATTGATCGGGTGACTGCAAGACACGCAGAAGATCTGCAGATCTGTGTCCTCGCTGTCGCCTTCATTTACCTGCAAACAGGAAACAAACCAAATCTAGGTGTTCCTTCTGTTCTTCATCTCCAGGTTCAAATAAACAATCAATGCCTGAGACGTGCACTCACCTCCTCGTCCTGCTGAACCGCCTGCTGCTTCGCTTTGGCGATGATGCCCTCCAGTTCGTGGAAGCGTCGCTCCATCTCGGTGAGGCGGAGCCGGGCGTTCTGCTGTTCCCGGCGTATCCGCTCCAGCTGCTTCTTACCGTGTTCCTCGGCAATGCAGGGGCTCTGCTGCCACTGCTGGATACGCTGAGGGAGGATCTCATAGATCCGGCTGACAAGAACAAAGATTTTAAAACTTTAAAAAAGTGAAGTAAAGATGTCAAAGAAAATTCCAAACGCTTTTCCAGTAAGTTGAGACAAAACAAAAGCAAAAAGAAAGTCTTACTTGGCGGCCAACTTCATGCCGCAGTCCTCAGAGCAGTATTTGGAGTTGGGTCTTGCTCCCGCCACACAGTTCGGTCCCAGGCACTGACGCTGACCTCCGCTATCTCGCAAATCGCCCCTCTCACTGTGCCTGCTTCGGTCTTTGTGCTTCTGCTTCTGCTTGTGGCGACGTGACTCCTTCTGAATGGTTTTTTTTTTCCAAAAACAGATGTTACCATTTTAACACGCGGCAGCTCTTAAAATATCATCATTTTCTATGAGAAAACCAGCCTTACTTTCTTCTCAAACTTCTTTTCTCGTCTCTTGACATGCTTCACCTTTATAGCTTTCTTACGCATGACAGGACTGAAGGGCACCTCGTCTTCGTCCTCACTGGCCCACGCCTGCATAAGAGGAGTGATTGAGTGAGTGCATGTAAAAGTGAGTTTTTCCTTCTCACTGTCGCCAAGTGCTCGCTCATATGGGGCTAACTGTTGGAGTTTTCTCTTTAATATTTACCTTACAGTATGAAGCGCCTTCAGGCAACTATTGTTGTGATTTGGCACTATATAAATACAATGGAGTTGAACTGAATTGAACATGCAACAGCGTAATGTGAATCGTTCTCCTACCATGCTGTCGTCCAGTCCTGCCGTCTTGTACTGCTGGTAGAGTTCTGCCTCGCTGTCGTAGTCCTCAGAGTACCGCCTCCGTCTGTGGTGGGAATTGTCCCTCCTTTCTCTCAGAGAGAATTCCTCATCCTTCACACGCAGCATTTTCTGAACACAAGATTTATAGGAATTTCGAAAAACAAACAAACAAAAAACAACCTTTTGATTTACACCCTAGTTTTGATGCACGTTGCACGTTAATGTGTAACTACTATACTATTACACTCTATGAGGCACTGTTAACACATTATGGAGCTAAAGGGACTTACCCTGGCTCGCACTTCACATTGCCTGAACCTGCACTTCTGTCTGATTTTGTTGGGGCCTCCAAACTTCTTCATGTCCTTGCAGAAATCACACTGAGCACAGTCTTCAGTCCTCCTGCAAGGCTCGCATTCCCCGCACATCCTCACTGAACGCTTTACCTGGGGGAAATTAACAAGAGGCAATAAGAGCCAGGACATCCTGGAAAACAAAAAATGAAATCCAAAGCAAAAAATGTACAGACTTTACTAAATTACATAAGACTATGAGGAAGATCAGCCAACCCCAGCCATGCATGTAGCGAATCCACCTCTGCTTATAATGACCACAATAATACAACTTACTTTGGATCCACGCCGCCTTTCACTTCTATAGTCTGGAGTACTTGGAGTGCTGTACTGTCTTTCACCTCTGTCAGAGTCGGGTTCCTTGTCACGATTTTTCTTTGATCTGTATTTTACTTCCAACAAGGGGTTTTCTTCTGGTGATAACAAATACAAGGAAGAGGGATCTTGTTCATTTCCAGGCAAATAAAGAACCAGAGTGAATTTTATTTTATTTAAAAAAGCAAAAAATAAATAATCATCACCTCTGCATCTCATGCAGTACCATTCCTGGATTGCCTTCGCTATTTTCTCAGTGATGTTAATGCAGTGGCCATGGAACCACTCATTACAGTTGTCACAGCCACTGTCGCCGAGAAACAAATGCATTTAATGAACAAGCATTTAATGTATGAAATACTTCTTCTGTGCCATATTAAACATGACAATATGGGTATAAATTTTGAGGTGACATAAAAATGTCATATCATGTATGAGACCAAGACAAATTTAGATCTAAAAAGACAATGTTCAAGATAGCAACACACACACAAAAAAACATAAGAGCGAAAAGAACCCACATCACGTACAACAAGGCTATGGAGGAGGAGATACTAGCAGCTGGTGGTGTGTGGCCCAGATGTAAAGAATTGACTGCCCCCAGGCCTCACTCGCACACTCACTAGTTTTGTACCGTCTGTCAGGAACAGGAAACAGTGGTTGGAAATTACTGTTGGTGTTACATGAGGGAAAAGAAAGGCTTTAAGCATCTGGGTAAAAACTAGAGATGGATCGATCCGATATTACGTATCGGTCCGATACTGACCTAAATTATTGGATTGGATATCGGAGAGAAATAAAAAATGTAACCCGATCCATTAAATATCACAAAAGCATCTAACAAAACTTGCGACATGGCGTGACCCAGCTCTTGACCATAGCACGTCGGAGGAGTGCTAAGGTCGGAGGAGCGGCTGTGGTGTGCAAGACCTGTCGGTGGTCTGGTTGAGCATTTGGAGCCGCTATGTGCACCCAAAGCGGCATTTCATCTCCAAGAAAGTTATCCCAGAGAAGTAAAGCAAGTGTGTAAGTTAATTTCTGAAAGTTTGTAAAGAATTCCCACGCTAAGCTTCACAACCGATATATGGAGCGACCGCCTCTTCTTCTCTCCTCCTCCCTCTCCTGTTGTTACTTGAAATCATAAAACTGATCAATGATAGGCTGATTGGCTTTTCTGTTGCAAACTCCTGCAAACATCCCAGCCCTGACATCACTTCAGGGTTTCCGTAGTGTAGTGGTTGTCATGTTCACCTCACAGTCGAAAGGTCCCCGGTCCGTAACCGGGCAGAAACATGGGTCTTTGGGGCAGGGATAGCTCAGTAGGTAAAGTGTTGGCCCTGTGATCGGAAGGTCAGGGGTTCAATTCCCCTCAACGGCTATGGTACCGTCCCTACACACTGCTCAATAGCAGCCTATTGCTTCACTGAGTGAATGTGTTAAATGCAGAGAGGAATTTCCCCACGGGGGAACAACCAAAGTTTTCATCTCATGTAAAATGTATAGAAATACATTATTGTATCTAGAAACTATTATTCTAATAGTTAGTAGGCTTGTCCTTTTTTCTTTGGGAAAGTACCATCTGTGCAGTCTGCAATTCTGTTGAAGAAAGATGTCGAATCTATTTAATTATTGTGGAAATATAATTGACGTCTGTGCATTTGTTTTACACATGCATTAAATTAAAGTCGCTTACATTGATTAAGCATTATGAGATGGAGGGTGGGAGGGTGGTTCCCTATGTTTTTTTGCTGCGAGTTGGCAACCCTACTAGTTAGGGGAAATATTAAACAACCTAAGTACTCTTTAAAATACCAGAATAGGGAGGATGGTGGAGGTTTAAGTTTATTAGAATGATCAGTATTGCTGAACTATGAAATATGGGTGCAGTGGATTTTTTGCATACAGGTATAACAGAATAGCTTTAGTTTTCTTTTTTAAAACTTGAGTATGAGTTTTATTGATTATAAAACACACTATATCAGATTCATTTCGGTATCGGCAGATATCCAAATTTATTATATTGGTATCGGTCATTAGAAAGTGGTATCGTGCAATCTCTAGTAAAAACTGGACCCATGATGAAACACTACAACAAGTAAAAAATATTCTTCATTTTTAATATATGACAATACTGTACAGACTGCTGATGAGTTACACTGCCTTGGCTACTTTTGTGCTTACATTTGATCTATGCTGGGTCACTACTTTTGCACTATAATGTTGCTGCTGACACCTTGGTTCACACTGACAATTAGAAAAAAGCTGATAGGAAAAGAAGGATGGAAAATGCCTGGAATTTAGTTACACTTGCAAATACTGCTTCCTCCAAACTGCAAGCATCAATAAAATGTTACAGTATTGTTTTCTAGATCTGTGCATATATCCTTATTGGTAGTTTTCTCGAAATAGAAGATCTTCATTTTAAAAAAAAAAACTCTGATAACATTGCTGAAGCTAGCGCCCACCCCTACTGCGCGTACTGCAAATATAAAACTGATATATACTTACATCATGAAGCAGTTGATGTCTGGTTTCCGACAAATACAGTAAAGAGGTGCGTTCTCCCCCTCCATACCAGTGTTCTCAGGCACTG